GGCTAATTTTTTTTATTTTTTAGTACAGACTGAGTTGTACTAAAGTTGTACATGTTGACCAGGCTGGTCTCAAATTCCTGACCTCAGGTGATCTGCCTGCCTTGGCCTCCCAAAGTGTTGGGGCTACAGGCTTGAGCCACTGTGCCCAGCCTGGTCTACTCTTGCAGGGAGGGGTATAGAAGGCAGAATATTCTAAGGCATTCTATCTCTCTATTTATCTTTAGCTCATACTGAAAGCAAGATAGCGTAGCATAAGCTGTATCCCTTGCTTAGGAATAACTGCTTTTTTTTTTTTTTAATTTTGAGGCAGAGTTTTGCTCTTGTTGCCCAGGCTGGAGTGCAGTGGTGCGCAGTCTTGGTTCACTGCAACCTCCCTAGGTCCATGCGATTCCCTTGCCTTAGCCTCTTGAGTAGCTGGGATTACAGGCGCCTGCCATCACACCTGGCCAATTTTTTTGTATTTTAGCAGAGATGGGGTTTCACCAGGCTGGTCCTGAACTCCTGACCTCGTGATCCTCCCACCTTGGCCTCCCAAAGTGCTGGGATTACAGGCATGAGCCACTGCACCTGGCCAAGAACTACATTTACATACAAGACTGAAAAGGTAGATTTCAGGCAAAATGGCAATTCTGTAGTAGGAGCTAGGTGATGTGATCTAAAGGAAAGCAAAGTGTGCTTTCCTTCTCTGCTGACCTCTTTGCATCTGTGCTTTTCCTTCTAGACGGCAGTTCTGCTACTGCGAATTGATGACATTGTCTCAGGCCACAAAAAGAAAGGCGATGACCAGAGCCGGCAAGGCGGGGCTCCTGATGCTGGCCAGGAGTGAGCGCTGGGCAAGCTACTTCAATGCACAGAACCAGCAGTCTCCCCTTTTCCTGAGCCAGAGTGCCAGGAACACTGTGGACGTCTTTGTTCAGAAGGGATCAGGTTGGGGGCAGCCCCCAGTCCCTTTCTGTCCCAGCTCAGTTTCCAAAAGACACTGACATGTAATTCTTCTCTATTGTAAGGTTTCCATTTAGTTTGCTTCCGATGATTAAATCTAAGTCATTTGAGAAAGTTGTTATGTGTTTTTCAACCTTGGGTCATCTCTCTTATCTCCTGGCAAAGAGGAGGAGGCAGAAAACCTTACTGGGGAGGGGAAGGAGACCTGGAATGAGGGCATTCAGTCTATTTTGCCATCTTGAGGGAGTATTCTTCAGACTTTTCAGTAAATTTTGGTTGGAAAGACCCTTTTGGAGTTCAAAGGATAATACTGTAAAGCTTATGAAGAACTATTTTGCATTCACCACCCAAAGAACAGGAGGAACCTGTCTAAAGCATGAGTGTTCCCCATAAGTGGTTGTATGAAGAGCAACACCCAATATATCCTAGGCCTCTGGCATGTGTCCTGAAGGACATAAAACATCCTTTTTGTTTCTCTTTTGTATTGTGTAGTTTTCAGAATTCTCCCCTTGCCTGGAGTTCTTTTTCTCTGTCCTCTTCCAGTGTTCCTTCCAATTCCAGTTGGCATTTTGGCTTGTTGGCCTATTCTCATGCCAGTATCATGTCATCGTCAGACCTCTGCCTCCCTGCTAACAGAAACAAAATATTTAAATCTTGTTTGTTTTTATCAAGGAGAGGAAAAAAGTTTGAGTAGTGGTCCCAGGATGCTACAGGCTAGGTGGTACAAGCCTTTGATTTCTTCAGTGTTCCACTGGGCTGCTGGGCTTTTGACCCTCCCACCTGTCCTTATGACTCACATTTAGCCTTGTTTTTCCCTTGCCTGACCATGGGACCTAGTCATACTAAGTTGAATACTTGGTAGGATAACGATAAGTATTGTGTAACAGATGTGTTCTAGTCATTTTGCATGTTAACTGATGGATCCTCACAACAGCCCTCAAGACAGGTAACGTTGCCGGACACGGTGGCTCACGCCTATAATCCTAGCACTTTGGGAGGCGGAGGCAGGTGGATCACAAGGTCAGGAGTTTGAGACCAGCCTGGCCAATATGATCAAACCTTGTCTTTACTAAAAATACAAAAGTTAGCTGGGTGTGGTGGTGGGCGCCTGTAGTCCCAGCTACTTGGAAGGCTGAGGCAGGAGAATTGCTTGAACCTGGGAATCGGAGGTTGCAGTGAGTTGAGATTACACCATTGCACTCCAGCCTGGGCAACAGAGTAAGACTCAAAAAACAAAAGGTAACATTGGCCAGGCACAGTGGCTCATGCCTATAATCCCAGCATTTTGGGAGGCTGAGGCAAGCGGATCACAGGTCAAGAGTTTGAGACCAGCCTGGCCAATATCGTGAAACCCATCTACTAAAAATACAAAAATTAGCCAGGCATGGTGGCATGCGCCTATAGTCACAGCTACTCTGGAGGCTGAGGATCGCTTGAACCTGGGAGGTGCGGAGGTTGCAGTGAGCCAAGATTGCACCACTGCACTCCAGCCTGGGTGACAGAGCAAGACTCTGTCTCAAAAAAAAAAAAAACGGGTAATGTTATATTCCCATTTTGTGAGGAAGAAATCTAATGCATAGATATGTAACTTGTTAAAGGGTCACAAAGCTGGTAAGTGGCAGAGCTGGAATTCATATGTAGGCAGTGTGGTTCTAGAAGCCATGATTTTTTTTTTTTTTTTAATTGAGATGGAGTTTCACTCTTGTTGCCCAGGCTGGAGTGCAATGATGCAATCTCAGCTCATGCAGCCTCCGCCTTGCGGGTTCAAGTGATTCTCCTGCCTCAGTCTCCCAAGTAGCTGGGATTACAGGTGTGTGCCAACATGCCCTGCTTATTTTGTATTTTTAGTTGAGTTGGAGTTTCTCCATGTTGGCCAAGCTGGTCTCAAACTCCTGAGCTCAGGTGATCTGCTCACCTCAGCCTCCCAAAGTGCTGGGATTAAAGTATATGGGAGGAGGGCGTGAGCCACTGCACCCAGCCCTCCTCCCATATACCTTAATCATCTCTAGATTACTTATGTCACTTAATGCAATGTCAATGCTGTAAATAGTTGTCAGACTGTTTTATTTGGAGTATTTTATTTATTTTGAGACAGTTTCGCTGTTGTTACCCAGACTGGAGTTGCACTGTTGTTACCCAGACTGGAGTGCAAGCAATTCTCCTGCCTCAGCCTCCCGAGTAGCTGGGATTACAGGCACGCGCCACCATGCACAGCTAATTTTTGTATTTTTAGTAGAGACGGGGTTTCACCTTGTTGACCAGGATGGTCTCGATCTCTTGACCTCGTGATCCACCCACCTCAGCCTCCCAAAGTGCTGGGATTATAGGCGTGAGCCACCACGCCCGGCCTATTTGGAGTATTTTAATTTTTTCCTCAAATATTTTCAAACCACAGTTGAATCTATGGATGAGGAACCAGCAGATACAGAGGGCCAGGCCAACTATACCTTTTTTCTCCAGAAAATTTCTGAGAAAATTTTGGAGAGTTTATTTCTGGAGTAGCCATTTTGGTGGCAGGGAGGTGGAGGTAGGAAATTGGATCCCTACTAAATTACAACAGAGTTAGTTCCCGGCAGCTGAATGATGTAAATATAAGAAAAGGCTGGGCACACTGGCTGACGCTTGTAATCCCAACACTTTCGAAGGTCGAGGCAGATGGATCACCAGAGGTTAAAAAAATTAGCTGGGTGTGGTGGTGGGCGCCTATAATTCCAGCTACTAGGGAAGCTGAGGCAGGAGAATCACTTGAACTCTGGAGGGGGAGGTTGCAGTGAGCCAAGATTTGGCCATTGCACTCCAGCCTGGGCAACAGGAGTGAAACTGTCTCAAAAAAAAAGAAAATGAGACCATAAGAGCACTAGAAGAAACATGGGGTTTAAAATATGTGAGGGGGTAGGGAACTCCATAAAAGGCTGCACTGCAGAAACGGAGGTTGTTGCACTAATATTAAGTTAATTTCCCTTAAGAAATTTTAGGGTGGACAAGATGGTGTGCGCCCATTGTCCCAGTTACTCAGGAGGCTAAGGTGGGAGAATCACTTGAGCCCAGCAGTTTGAGGCTGCAAGTGAACCATGTTTGCACCACTGCACTCCAGCCTGATTGATGGAGCAAGACCCTATCTTTAACAAAAAAATAGTTTTAGAACTTGGCAATTAAGAAAAGACCTGTCGAAAAACAGGCAAAGGATTTAAAAAGCTCCAGAGGAGCAAAAATTGACTAAAACATGAAGAGATGCTTAACCTTATTCAAAGGGAAATGTAAGCAGAATTTGGTAAACCCTTGGAATGAGCTCTAAAGCATGTGGTTTGAGTGTCAATTGGTAAACCTCATATAAAGGGCAGTTTGACCTGGCAGTTCCACTCCTTGGTACTTATCCTACTGAATTTGGTTATTAATAAGAAATGCTGAGATCTCAGCATTTCTCCTTGGTTGGGTCAATTTCAATCAGGGTTATTTTTTCCAGCATTGTTTTTCACAACAAAATATTACTACAACAAGGTTCTGGCTAAATAGATCCATGGAACATTCCTCTGCAAGGAGAATGAGATAACTCCAAGTGCATCGATACATATGAGTATCAGAACATTCCTCAACACATGAGTTAAAAATGCAAATTGGGGCCAGGCATGGTGGCTCACACCCGCAATCCCAACACTGTGAGGCTGAGGTGGGTGGATCACTTGAGCTGAGGAATTTGAGACCAATCTGGGCAAGATGACAAAACCCCACCTCTACTAAAAATACAAAAATTAGCCAGGCATGGCAGCACACACCTATAATCCCAACTATATGGGTGGCTGAGGCAGAATTGCTTGAGCCCAGGAGCCGGAGGTTGTTGTGAGCCAAGATCTTGCCACTGCACTCCAGCCTGGGTGCGACAGTGTCTCAAAAAAAAAAAAAAACAACTGAAGAACAGTGCTTCGGTGCCACTGTATATTATTTACATGTAATCTGTATATATTTATATTCTCGAGCATAGGATATCTTTAGGAAGATAAATAAGAAACTGGTAGTGATGGTTGTCTCAGGAGGGACCAGTTTGCTGGTGAATAGAAATGATGCCCTTAGGTACTTTTTTTTTTTTTTTTTTTAACAACTGGGTCTCAGTGACACAGGATTTGTCTCAGCCACTTTCCCAGCCAGGCCTGGAGCCCCTGGCCTGCTGCTGGAGGTGTCCTGCCCATTCGTCCCACCTGGCCACACCTGGCTTGCACACTGGCTCTGCCCTTGTCTGGGCTGGGGCATGCCCCAGGCTGCCTGTGTTTTTGCTTGTACCCACGTTCAGCAGTTCCTGAGTTCTTGTCATGCATCCAAGAAGAATGAGATTATGCTGACAGTTCGAAGCGTGAAGAGGGTGGAAGAGAATTTTATTGAGTGACAAAACAACTCAGCCGAGAGGGGACAGGAGGGTAGTCTCCCAAGTTAGGTGGTTTCTCTCCCATTGTGACTGAGTCTGGGGCTTTTATGGGTTCAAAATGTATGTGTGGTGTGTGTGTGTGTGTGTGTGTGCCCACTCTCTCGCGCTGATTGGTTTGTGAGTATACCAAAAAAAAAAAAAAAAAAGGCTAAAACAAAGGCCCCACTCAAAGGTGGTCATGACAGTGTAACAAACCAATTAGGGAAAGGTACATATATGTAAAAGAGGTGAAGGGTGGTGATCAGTCAGAAGAAAGTTTGACAAACCGGAAGAGGGGTTCTCATTCCCACCTTTGCATTTACCCAGTACTTGTAGCTTGGCTCTCAACTGTTTTCAGCTTGAAAGTGGGGTTTCAGCCGGGTGCGGTGGCTCAAGCCTGTAATCCCAGCACTTTGGGAGGCCGAGGCAGGTGGATCACGAGGTCAAGAGATTGAGACCATCCTGGTCAAAATGGTGAAACCCCATCTCTACTAAAGATACAAAAAATCATCTGGGCATGGTGGCGCATGCCTGTAATCCCAGCTACCCAGGATGCTGAAGCAGGAGAATTGCCTGAACCCAGGAGGCGGAGGTTGCGGTGAGCCGAGATTGCACCATTGGACTCCAGCCTGGGTAACAAGAGCGAAACTCCGTCTCAAAAAAAAAAAGAAACAAAGTGGGGTTTCATCAGGAACCCACCCCTGTCTGCCTAGGATTTGTCTGCCTCCTGTTGCTATCCTCACTTTATTGCCCAGGCTGGAGTGCAGTGGTGCAGTGGGAGGATTAAGAGATCCTCTCATTTCAGCCTCCAGAGTAGCTGGGACCACAGGCATGCACCACCACACCTGGCTAATTTTTGTATTATTTTGTAGAGATGGGGTTAGGCTATGTTGCCCAGGCTAGTCCTGAACTCCTGGCTCAAGACATCCTCCTACCTCAGCCTCCCAAAGTGCTAGGATTACAGGCGTAAGATACCACACTGAGCTCTTTGGTACCTTTTGAATTTTGTACCATGTACATTTATTAGTCAAAACAAGATTAAAGTAGGCCAGGTGTGGTGGCTTTTGCCTGTAATCCCAGCACTTCGGGAACCCACAGCAGGCGGTTCACTTGAGGTTAGGAGTTTGAGACCATCCTGGCCAACATGGTGAAACCCCCTCTCTACTTTAAAAATACAAAAATTGGCCGGGCGCGGTGGCTCACACCTGTAATCCCAGCACTTTGGGAGGCTGAGGCGGGTGGATCACGAGGTCAAGAGGTCGAGACCATCCTGGTCAACATAGTGAAACCCCATCTCTACTAAAAATACAAAAGATTAGCTGGGCATGGTGGTGCATGCCTGTAATCCCACCTACTCAGGAGGCTGAGGCAGGAGAATTGCCTGAACCCAGGAGGCGGAGGTTGCCATGAGCCGAGATGGCACCATTGCACTCCAGCCTGGGTAACAAGAGCGAAACTCCGTCTCAAAAAAAAATTAGCTGGGCATAGTGGCAGGCACTTGTAGTCCCAGCTCCTTGGGAAGCTGAGGCAGGAGAATTGCTTGAACCCAGCAGGTGGAGGTTGCAGTGAGCCAAGATCATTCCACTGCACTCCAGGCCAGGCGACAGAGCAAGACTCTGTCTCAAAATATAAAGATTAAAGAAAAAAGAAAAAAAAGTGCATCCCACCAGATGTCATCTCCCTCTTTTGACCAATACTTGTATTGCCCCATATCCCATTTTCTCATATCCTAACTTTTCTCCACGATAAAATTGTGTACTCAGCCGGGCACGGTGGCTCACACCTGCAATCCCCAGCACTTTGGGAGGCCAAGGCAGGCAGATCATGAGGTCAAGAGATTGAGACCATCCTGGCCAATATGGTGAAACTCCTTCTCTACTAAAAATACAACAGTTAGCAGGGTGTGGTGGCACACAACCATAATCCCAGCTACTCAGGAGGCTGAGGCAGGAGAATCACTTGAACCCAGGAGGCAGAGGTTGCAGTGAGCTGAGATCACACCACTGCACTCCAGCCTAGCGATAGAGTGAGACTCCTTTTAAAAATAAATAGGCCAGGCGCAGTGGCTCACGCCTATAATCCCAGCACTTTGGGAGGCCGAGGGAGGTGGATCACAAGGTCAAGAGATCAAGACCATCCTGGTTAACATGGTGAAACCCCGTCTCTACTAAAAAAAAGAAAAAAATACAAAAATTAGCTGGGCATGGTGGCGCGCGCCTGTAGTCCCAGCTACCCAGGAGGCTGAGGCAGGAGAATTGCTTGAACCCAGGGGGTGGAGGTTGCAGTAAGCCGAGATTGCGCCATTGCACTCCAGCCTGGGTAACGAGCGAACCTCCGTCTCAAATAAATAAATAAATAAATAAAAATAAATAAGCGGGGGGGCGGTGGCTCACGACTGTAATCCCAGCACTTTGGGAGGCCGAGGCGGGTGGATCACAGGTCAAGAGATTGAGACCATCCTGGTCAACATGGTGAAACCCCGTCTCTACTAAAAATACAAAAAAATTAGCTGGGCATGGTGGCGCGTGCCTGTAATCCTAGCTACTCAGGAGGCTGAGACAGAAATGCCTGAACCCAGGAGGCAGAGGTTGCGGTGAGCCGAGATCGCACCATTGCACTCCAGCCTGGGTAACAAGAGCGAAACTCCATCTCAAAAAAATAAATAAATAAATAAGGCTGGGTGCGGTGACTCATGCCTTTAATTTCAGCACTTTCGGAGACTGAGGTGGGTGGATCATGAGGTCAAGAGATCGAGACCATCCTGGCCAACGTGGTGAAACCCCGTCTCTACTAAAAATACAAAAAAATCAGCTGGGTGTGGTGGCACATGCCTGTAGCCCCAGCTACTTGGGAGGCTGAGGTAGGAGAATTGCTTGAACCCAGGAGGCGGAGGTTGCAGTGAGCCGAGGTCACACCACTGCACTCCAGCCTGGTGCCTGGTGATGCAGTGAGACTCTGTCTCAAAAATAAATAAATAAATAGTGAACTCTTTCTGAACCGGAACCCGAATAGCAAAGTGTTCAATTAATACTATGTTTTGTTTTTGTTTTTGTTTTGAAATGGAGTTTCACTCTTGTTGTACAGGCTGGAGTGCAATGGTGTGATCTCAGCTCACTGCAACCTCCACCTGCTGGGTTCATGATTCTCCTGACTCAGCCTCCCGAGTAGCTGGGATTACAGGTGCCTGCCACCACACCCAGCTGATTTTTTATATATTTAGTAGAGATGGGGTTTCACCATGTGGGCCAGGCTGGTCTTGAACTCCTGACCTCAGGTGGTCCACCCGCCTTGGCCTCCCAAAGTGATGGGATTACAGGTGTGAGCCACTGCACCCAGCCACAAAGTGTTCAATCAGTATTAGATTGACATAGCCCTCAGATGTGCTATCTCATGGAATTCCTCAAATTCCTCTCTGGATCTTCCTATCACAGTTGTATTATTGGGATTCCATTTGGATATCTCTCACTATAGGTAGCTCTTCAGTGGGATGAACTAGGTAGGACAGGCTGGGAGTAAGTCTGTCTGATCTAGGATGTCTTGCTTGCCACTCAGATAGAAGATTATGTACTCCCGGCCTTTCTGATTCCATTCTAACTCTTGCCAAATCCACCTGAAGGGAAGTAGTCTCTTTAAGAAAGGGTACAGGGCTGGGCGTGGTGGTTACACCTGTAATCCCAGCAATTTGGGAGGCAGAGATGGGCGGATCACCTGAGGTCAGGAGTTCGAGACCAGCCAGACTAACATGGATAAACTCCATCTCTACTAAAAATACAAAATTAGCGGAGCATGATGGCTCATGCCTATAATTCCAGCTACTCAGGAGGCTGAGGCAGGCGAATCACTCGAGCCGGGGAGGCAGACATTGCAGTGAGCCAGGATCTCGCCATTGCACTCCAGCCTGAGCAACAAGAGCAAAACTCCATCTCCAAAAGAACTGGTATGGTTAGGCCCAAGTTGTCAAGGCTCCGAAGGTAACGCCCCGGAGGATGGGGAAAAGGGGTGGGGTTAGAGGCCAAGGCGAGCACCCAGGAGGCAGGCCCAGAAGAGGACTGCCAGGAGGAGTCGGGTGCCGAGGAGGGAGGCGGGGGTGGCATGGCCTGTGCTTCGCTCGGTGAATTCGCACGAGCTCACCCCCGGGTCATCTTTTGCAACTGCAGCCCTCGGCTGCCTGTGGCTCAACTGCTATGGCAAGCCGCAGCCCTACTCTACGCTGCTGCCCAGCAGGGACTTTCTCATCCACAGCTTCGAAGCCACCTTGGCTCTTCAGGGATTTAAGGACACACAATAGGCTTCTGGTTAACCACCAAACTGAATTGTTTGTGCCATCTTCCAGTGTTGATGGACAGCCTGCTTTTGCCAACCTCACACTGCCAGTGGATACCCTGAAACAGCAATGCCTCTAGGTTGTCCAAGGTCTTGTCAAGCCTGAGAATTACAGGAGACTGGACATCACCCACTCTATGACGATCTGGAAGACCACCCAAATGTGCTTGAAAGACCTGGAGCGACTGACACAGGAGCACAGTGAAAATGGATGGCCAAGTGCCGTGGCTCACACCTGTAATCCCAGCACTTTGGGAGACTGAGGCAGGTGGATCACCTGAGGTCAGGAGTTCAAGATCAGCCTGGCCAACATGGTGAAACCACATCTCTACTAAAAATACAAAAAATTAGCTGAGTATGGTGGCATGTGACTGTAATCCCAGCTAATTGGGAGGCTGAGGCAGGAGAATCGCTTGAACCCAGGAGGTGGAGGTTGCAATGAGCTAAGATTGCGCCACTGCCCTCATGCCTGGGTGACAGATCGAGACAGAAAGAAAGAGAGAAAGAAGAAAAGAAAATTAAGGGATGGAAGAGGAAACTGAAGATCCCTTTTTTTTTTTTTTTTTTGAGACGGAGTTTTGCTCTTGCTGCCCAGACTGGAGTGCAATGACGTGATCTCACCTCACCACAACCTCCGCCTCCTGGGTTCAAGTGATCCTCCTGCCTCAACCTCCTGAGTAGCTGAGATTACAGGCGTGCGCCAACATGCCAGGCTAATTTTTTTTGTATTTAGTAGAGACGGGGTTTTACCTTGTTGATTAGGCTGGTCTCAAACTCCTGACCTCAGGTGATCCACCCACCTCAGCCTCCCAAAGTCTTGGGATTACAGGTGTGAGCCATCATGCCTGGCCAAGACTGAAGATTTTTCTTCTTCTCTTTTTTTTTGAAGAAGACTGAAGATTTTTAATTGAGACTTTCACTCTTTCATCTTAGCTTTTGATGGTACTGATACGTCTTGATATAGATATAGATAGAGAACTGGTCACACACTCTTGATTTCAAAGTGTCTCATTCTTGGAGTAAAATAGGCCCCATTGCTTAAAAGAAAGTTAACTGACTGAACTAGGCATTGTGATGTTCAGGGACAAGCATGATAAAATGTAATTTAAAGTCTGCTCATTCTAGATGTATTTATCGGGAAAAGGTAGTTGCATTTCGGCATCCCAATAAGTCAGGGAAGTTTCTGCATCAGGAGGCTTGTAGAAGCAATTCAGTGAGAATTGTAAGAAAGCAGTGGCATCTGTTTTTGTTTTTTTGTGTTTTTTTGAGGTGGAGTTTCGCTGTTGTTACCCAGACTGGAGTGCAATGGCACGATCTCGGCTCACCGCAACCTCCGTCTCCTGGGTTCAAGCAATTCTCCTGCCTCAGCCTCCCGAGTAGCTGGTACTACAGGCGTGCACCACCGTGCCCAGCTAATTTTTGTATTTTTAGTAGAGACAGGGTTTCATCTCATTGACCAGGATGGTCTCGATCTCGATCTCTTGACCTCGTGATCCACCAGCCTCAGCCTTCCAAAGTGAACCACTGCCCCCGGCCAGCATCTGTTTTTAATTGATGTACTATGGTTGGTGATATGTCTGCCTCCTGCTTTGAGAAAACTGAGGTGTCCTTGTGACAGGGACAAGTCCTTCTCATCTTCGAGACCCTAGTGCCTGGCATCTTATGAGCCTTAAGTCAGTGTTTGCCAGATGAACAAACCAGTAGATGCTTTGGTAGAAAGTGCTTAGAGGGCCAGGCGCAGTGGCTCAAGCCTGTAATCCCAGCACTTTGGGAGGTCGAGGCGGGTGGATCACGAGGTCAAGAGATCAAGACCATCCTGGTCAACATGGTGAAACCCCGTCTCTACTAAAAATACAAAAAATTAGCTGGGCACGGTGGCGCATGCCTGTAATCCCAGCTACCCAGGATGCTGAAGCAGGAGAATTGCCTGAACCCAGGAGGCGGAGGTTGCGGTGAGCCGAGATTGCACCATTGGACTCCAGCCTGGGTAACAAGAGCGAAACTCTGTCTCAAAAAAAAAAAAGATTACACACAAAAGAGAAAAAAAAAGAAAGAAAGAAAGTGCTTAGAGATTTTGCCTTTTTCGTTGGGGAGTGGTGGGCAGCCTTAAAATGTGTACAATAAACAAATCTCTTAAAGGGAATCTTTTTTTTTTTTTCGATAGAGACTCACCTGTCACCCAGGCTGGAGTGTAATGGCGTAATGTTGGCTCGTTGCAACCTCTGCCACCTGGGTTCAAACGATTCTCCTGCCTCAGCTTCCTCAGTAGCTGGGACTACAGGCACCCGACACCATGCCTGGCTAGTTTTTTTTTGAGACGGAGTGTCACACTGTTGCCAGGCTGGAGTGCAGTGGTGTGATCTTGGTTCACTGCAACCTCCACCTCCTGGGTTCAAGCAATTCTCTTGCCTCACCCTCCAGAGTAGCAGGGACTACAGGCATGTGCCACCATGCCCAGCTAATTTTTTTGTATTTTTAGTAATGATGGGTTTTTACCATGTTGGCCAGGCTGGTCTCTAACTCCTGACCTTGGATGATCCGCCCACCTCGACCTCCAACAGTGCTGAGATTACAGGCATAAGCCACCATGCCCAGCCTGGGAATCATTTTTATAGGAAGCTCTTTTTATAATTTTGTAAGTCACATGCTTTTCTCAGTCTACTGTTGCAGTGCTGTTTTATTTCTGTTTCTAAACTAGGACTGGCTTTATACAGTTGTGATAAATAGCATTTTTGCAGCTTGACATCTGCAAAGAAACAGAGAACATTCTCATGTTTCATTCTAATATTAACAGGCTGTATACTGCAAATACGTTTTCGAAAAATTTGGTATTTCTGCTTCTCTTTGTAAATCTATGACATTTCCGATTGGTTCAGCATTCTTCATCAGGCAGGATCCAGTGACACTTTCACCTGGCTGGAAAAAAGACCGAAGCTCTCCGGAGCTCTGGTGAGTCACTCCTAACAGTGGATTCGTGGAGTAGCCTGGAATGTTTCATCGTTTTATAAATGTACAGATCCTTACAGGGCCAGGCAAGGTAGCTCATGCCTGCAATCCCAGCACTTTGGGGAGGCTGAGGAGGGAGGATCACATGAGGTCAGGAGTTTGAGACCAACCTGGCCAACAGGGGAAGTAAAGTTCCTCTTCAACGTTTCCTTTCTTGTTAAAGAATAAATTTGCTAATAACTATTTGTTAAGCCCTATCCTATGTAGCTGTTAGACATGCCACGCTTACAGGCACGTAGTGTATTCTATGTCCTTGTACTTTAACCAAAATATCTGTGCTGGATGTGCTCACAGGCATGTCCCAGCTCACAGCCTATGTCCCTTACCTGTTTAAAAAAGTTTTAAGTTATTAGCCAATCAAGTTTTAGTTTAGATTGTGAGGTCTGGCTCCAACCAACAGACATCATACACAGCAGTAAGAAAAACCCCAAATGCATAAGAAATAAATATATCTGCTTTTCCACTGTTCATTGTACTCTCGTGGCAAGATGACTAGTGGGGTATCCTTCCTGCAGTGCAGGAAATAAAAATTGCTTTGCTGAGAGATCCTTTGTCTCAGTGCTGATTTTTCTTTGCGGCACCAAGCATCTGTTTCCAACAATGGTGAAACCCTGTCTCTACTAAAAATACAAAAATTAGCCGGGTGTTGTGGTACATGCCTGTAATCCCAGATACTCGGGGAGGCTGAGGCAGGAGAATCGCTTGAACTCAGGAGGCAGCGGTTGCAGTAAGCCGAGATCATGCCACTGCACCCCACCCTCAGTGACAGAGTGAGACTCCATCTCAAAACAAGACAACAACAGCAACAAAAACACTCCTCCAGTAGAAGAGAAAAATTTGGAAGAGACAGAAAAGTAAAAAGGAAGAAAAAATATCACTATAGATACACTACTAAAATACAACCACTACTAGCATTTTGATCTATTTTCTTTTAGCCTTTTTTTTAAACATAGTTGAGATCTTACTATTTCTATAGTTTTGTATCCTACTTTTTCTTTTTCTTTTTTTTTTTTTTGAGACGGAGTTTCGCTCTTGTTACCCAGGCTGGCGTGCAATGGCACGATCTTGGCTCACGGCAACCTCCGCCTCCTGGGTTCAGGCAATTCTCCTGCCTCAGCCTCCTGAGTAGCTGGGATTACAGGCATGCGCCACCATGCCCAGCTAATTTTTTGTATTTTTAGTAGAGACGGGGTTTCACCATGTTGACCAGGATGGTCTCGATCTCTTGACCTCGTGATCCACACACCTTGGCCTCCCAAAGTGCTGGGATTACAGGCTTGAGCCACCGTGCCTGGCCAGCCTCCTTTTTCATTTACTTTTATGACGAATATTTTTCCATGTTATAAGCTTTTCATAAACATTAGGATAGTCTTTCTTTTGTAATTAATGTTTGGGGTATTTTTTGGCATCTTTAGTTCTTTATCCTAACCTTTGCACACAGGTCCTGCATTCTAAAATCACTAAAATCAGGGTGATGGCTGGTGTGGTGGCTCACCCCTGTAATCCCAGTACTTTGGGAGGTCCATGTGAGAGGATCACTTGAGCTCAGGAGTTCAAGACCAGCCTGGACAACATAGAGTAACCCTGTCGCTGCAAAAAACTTTTTAAAAATTAGCCAGGCATAGTGGCATGTGCCTGTAGTCCCAGCTGCTTGGGAGGCTGAGGCAGGAGGGTCACTTGAGCTTGAGGGTTTTAGGCAGCAGTGAGCCGTTGCCTGTGCCACTGCACTCCAGCCTTGGTAACAGAGCAAGATACTGTCTCAAATAAATAAAAGAGCAAAGTGAAGTAAACAAAAGTGAAGTTTTCCACAACCCTTTTATTTTTATTTATTTATTTAATTTTTTTTGGAGACGGAGTTTCGCTCTTGTTACCCAGGCTGGAGTGCAATGGCGTGATCTCGGCTCATCGCAACCTGCCTCCTGGGTTCAGGCAATTCTCCTGCCTCAGCCTCCTGAATAGCTGGGATTACAGGCACGTGCCACCATGCCCAGCTAATTTTTTGTATTTTGAGTAGAGACGGGGTTTCACCATGTTGACCAGGATGGTCTTGATCTCTTGACCTCGTGATCCACCCGCCTCGGCCTCCTAAAGTGTTGGGATTACAGGCGTGAGCCACCGCGCCTGGCCTCTTTCTTTCTTTCTTTTTTTTTCCTTG